CTGAATCACAATTAAATTGGTACAAATATTTACTTAGAGAGATAATTATATGTTGGCAAAAGCTCAAAGTTACCTGCAGGCTTTCCAACATATGGCACGTCTGTTTTTTGTTGGGTGGGTAACAGAGCCACAGCTGATGGTGGCGAGTTAAATCTTTTTTCCAATAAACGTGGATAGGATAATTTGGGAGAAATGTTCCAAAGTGTCATGTGTGGGTGGATGAGAGTTCATCTAATATTTAATGCCTCACTTGGGGGGTGAACGGTAAAGTGACATATTTGCTTTTTTCACTGGAGGACTGCCACTACATACACTTTTAAAATAACAAATATTAATAGAAGTACTGATTGTAGGAATATATCAAATCAGAGTAAGAGACGCTGCGTTCACTGTTGAGACATCTGTAAGTTCACGGTGAGGCATCGTGGCGTACTTATCCAAAAACAACAACTCAAAATATTTTATCATAAATTTCCCTTACAGACACAGAGCCAGTGCACAGTGAAGCTTTAAGTAGTGACTAAATAGCCCTCTTTTAAATATGCTGTAGGTAAATGTGATGGCAGTTCTGTGTCAGTCTTATATATTTGAATAAACACCAAAGTCACTTTAACGTAAAAGTCACTAAAGTAATCTTACTGGGTCGGTCTGTCGGATGCATTTTTATAGCACAAGTCTGAATTAAATGGCATCAGATTAACGTAAAGCTTCCAGCAGAAACAAGCAATGAGTAAAATTAAACACGTCTCATCACCTTTTTAAGAGAACTCCATAATTTCACCACAACTATGATATAGTTATATGATTTTAGTGAAACAAAACACCATGAAATCTGATTTTTAGACTATTCTAGACCAGTATATAACATTTATTTTTCCTGTTGTGGTGCAACTGGAGCAAAAGAAGAAAAGAAGTCCCAATAAAATGTAAAAAAATCTCGTACAAGCACAGTAATAATCAGACGGGGTGTTTCACTACACTATATTTTAAATGTTTAAATGCTAACTGGATTGATGAGTATCCAGCAAAACGCTTCACATGCAGCATGTGAGCAAAACAAAGTCACGCATAACGTCTTCAAAATGGGCTCTCAGCCTGTGAGAGAACAAAACGCACTCTTATGTCCTTGATATCTATTTAACTCAGTGTGGTTCTCATCGGTGCCACGGCTCCGTCTCACACACCAGCTGCCAAATACTGTGGAAGCATTATTGTGGTTCTTTGTGGCCAACAATGTTATGTATTCCACGTATGAAAAGGACCTCTGACGGCTCGTCAAAAAGTAAAACATCCGCTTCTGATTATGTGAAATTCTGTTACTGCATCACTTCAGTTATTCAGAAAGTAAAAAGGGGGAATAATTTCACTCCCAGTGTATGTAACAGTCAAAGCCTCTTTCCTTTTTCCAATCAGTAATCCGGTTAGTTGCTGGACCACATGGTGTAGCTATTCTACCTAATGCCCACCTATCTAGTTAGCCAGATTCTCTTTCCTATTGTTTCAGGTCTTAGAATCTCTCAGAGAAAACCTGTTATCCCGAAGGCTAGCGAGCAGACAGTTAGGCAGGATGAGGAAGTTATTTTCAGAATCCTCACCTCGTCGTTTTCAAGGTGAGACAAGAAGCAGAACTTAGTTTGAGTTGAGTCGAGTGTTAGTCAATCTGCATTTTCCTCCAGGACTTTTGAATAATAAACTGTAAACTGTGTTAGCTCCCGTTAAACACATCTTCCCCCCTTTTTCTATCCAGATTCCACCGGGAGCTGACGAGGGGAGCCTCTCCCGACTGGAAGGTCACGACCGTTTGGCACTGGCACTGGAAACTGGCTGAGTGATTGAGTCATCAGGACACAACAAGGGAGCAGTGATTGGCTGAATTTACTTATCCGTAAAAGGCAACAATTAAACTGGACCGCAGGCAAAGCGAGCAGCGGATTGATTGTTGAATAGATTGACTGTCTATTAGGATCACATGAAACTGGACCCACAGCTATAACACTGGAGCTGTACAGACATCTGAAGACCTCAGAGCTTTATAAGTGAACCCACCTTCCTACTTGAAGTCGTCCTCAGACCCGCAGATGCCTTTTAAAACCCCCTCCAGCAATTTAACATGCTGTACAACTCTGAATCACCAGCAGGTGTTTTAGTTTAAATGCAGTGTGAACAGAGTGATGTGGTTACTTGAAAAAGGCATTTAAACTCTTTTTATTTGCTAAAAATATCTGTTGTGCTGCCAAATAACTTATAACAGGTCCACGTGTTAGCTTCAACCAGAGCTTTCAACCACATCTCACACTTTTCCTCCATGAATGGAGTTTCCTCAGTTGGTTGGTCATCACATGACTTAAAGTAAGTAAAAACAGGTTCCTGTATGTGGACACTGTTGTCACATGACCAAAGTCCTATACGTACTGTAGCTCACATGATGACAACCAAGAAATTGTCTATCCACCTTCAGATTCAGCTGAAAGAAGCAGAAAGTTGTTCACTAGACCAATATGTTGCCTCAATATGTTGCCTCAATAAATTGCTTGATAAAAGCACCAAACTGTATCCATGACCCTTTAATTTATCCCTGAAATCAGCCGCAATCAATAATCTCCTCTACACAGCACCAACAGTATGCCTTTCTGACATCGCACTGATAAACTGGGACTGAACAAAACATTACAACATGTTTAATCATGTACAGAGACAAAGCTGTTGTTCTCTTTAAATGGAAAAAATGCATCTTTAGGAACCATGGCACAAATAAAAGTTTTATTTTTGGCTACACACTACAAACCTTAGCTCTGAATTCTGTTTTTATTTGGCTGTTCACATAATTATTTTAAATGTGGCCCATATCAGATTCCAGTGTGAACGGGTCCACGTCCTGAAGTGACCTGCATGACGATTGTTGACTTAAAAGTCACATGAATTCTGATTTTAATGTTCACACTGAGGTCACAGTGCAAAATATCAGACCTGTATCTGATTTGGACCACACATGAACGTGGCCCGAATCAGATTTAAGGTCAGATTTCATGTGATCTGAGCTGTACACACTGTGATGACATAATCAGATTTGAGTAACTTTGGCCTGCAGTCTGAATGTGGCCTTTTATGTAACTATCAATCATATTAGTTTTTATCTTTTTAAGGATGAAATAAACGATAAATTCATGGTGAGAAAATAAAAGACCCTGCCCTGCTGTCTCCTAATAATTTCTGTACAGTCTCCAACTTTTCAACAGTTGCTGAACTCAACAACAACAGGCTGATGTAACAACCTACACAATATTAACATTAAAGGAGAAGTCCTTTTGAATTCTCCACATGTGATTCATGAAACATATAAGGAACCGAATATATAAGTGTTGGCGGTACTCGTGATAAAAAGCAACAGGCAACAAGATAATCAATTCTCCATAGTAAGCAGGAAGGTGCCGTCTGGTACATTGCTGTCAAGAAGGCACTTTATGGATCAACAGGAGATCACAACACGAGTCTCGTACCAAAGTGAAAATAGTTGTACTGCACTGCTGCGAGCAACAGTGACAGATTCTACCACCCGTTAAACTAACTCTAATGCAGCCTGCGTCTGAGCCCCCGCGGTCATTGCCAGAAACGCGTCACTTGTCAAAAACATCACGTCTGACTCTTGAATGCTGCGTGTCATCCCATTCTGTTAAAGCCTGCCGCGATATTATTAATGTTGACAACATATCTGACAAACAGAGAGGATTCTGTCATTAGCGGCCGCTAATTCATGCATAATGAAATACGCTGAGGATTATTCTAATTTTTGATGCATAGTAATATGTGGTCTGTGGAAGTTTGCGTGGGGGTTTTTTTTGGTTCCAGCTGAGCATCTCACCGAGTCGTAATGAGATTAAATGAGTGCGGTTAGCTTAGCACATGTCAATATGCTCATGGATATGGTGAGAGCACATTAAACAATTTACCACGCCTGTGCATCACTCAGTTTAATGGAAATTAACAAGGAAACAAAAGCAAGTGGTGAATATACAAAAAGCTAATGGTTTTTTTAGTTATTTTACTGTTTTGTAATGTTCTGACGTGTAGATCAGTTGAGGCTGCGTGCCAACCTTTTTTCATTAATCTTGTTAGCGAAACAGATCGCAAACAATTCCTCGTACCTCTTTGAGAGACTCTGCGTGTCTGTACGTCTGCGTGTGTCTCAGCTCCAGAAAACCATAAATTAATTGTGCTATCTCTGTCAGATTCCCATTTTAGGATTGATTAATACAATTACCAGATAAATATGCTTAGAAATTAAATCTAATACTCCGTCCGAACAAATGATAAGGTACGGAGAACGCTCCTCTCAGTGTTTACGCAGGTCTTTCACCACGGTCACACCGACTTATTGTTAAGTTCAAAGCAATCAACTAAAGATTTAATAATGTTTCACAGCATTTTAGGTGAAACAACAAAAGATGAAATGTTGCTTCCAACAAAAGAAAGGTGACACGTTGACACGACAAATGAGCCGTTTCTGTGCATGAAATTCTATTTTTCATTTGAATAGAGAAATTGATTCTTTATAAACAAACATGTAATAGAGGGGAAAAAAACATCTTTTGTTTGCTGACATGTTTATCTCTCAATTTGTGGTGGTATTAATATTGTGCCTTGTGTTGACTACTGACTTTGACTTGACAGCAATACAAAGCCTTTTCAAATTAGTGTATATTGTTTGTTGGGCAGGGAGAGAAACTAGTCTTAATATTCGGGCCAGAACAAAGACAGCTCAAATCAAAACAAGACTGAAGCTACTTAAAAACAACCTAGGGTCTCCAAACCAAATCAATCACAGGAAACATTAATAATTATAAACACATTCTGCCTTTTGTACCTCTAATACGTGTGTTTCTGTCAGTTCTTTGCATGCAGGTGTGCCCTCTGCTGGGAAAGAAAATGTGGACCTAGTTGTTATCAGAAGAGAGTTGGTTTAAATGTAAAAAGAAAACCCACCCGAGTATGTCCCCTGGTAGTAACCCTCAGAACAGGTGTAAAATGTGCTTCAGTGCATTAATGGCTGCTTGGAACATGTTGTTTGTTGCTGTTCCCGTTGAGATACAGCTTGAAGGAGCAGTTCGTCCACACATCGAGAACTGTGCAGCCGGTGGAGTGTGTCTCTTCACGTTACCCTCTTTTGGTTGTGTGCTCTGCCGGGAACTGCTTACTGGCTTCCAGGAAATTCACGAAAAGACGGGAACACACTCCGAAAAGAGTCCAAAAAAAAGGATGCTCAGATAAAGGCTTATATGATGAGTCTGATATTAGCCAAACGGGTTCATTTATGGAGCGTTCCCTCTCTGTATTTATTGTTCAGACGGATTCATAACCACGATCATGATAAAGTAAGAGGTTGTGTCATTTGAACAGAATAATAGCGATAGAATAATGGACATGCGGACACCTACCAGCAATGTAATGACCACATGTGTTATATTCCCGACTGTACACGTATAAAAAGGGTGTCCCACTTGCAAATGCAAAAGGATGAAAGGTAACAGCACAATCCCCATTCAGATTACTGTTTACTCCCGTATGACTTGTTGTCAGACACAGAAATCCGTTCTCCATTATGTCAAAAGTGTCTTCCCAGCTGAGAGAGAAATATTGACTGACGAGGACACATTTAAAAACATCTTGAGTTACATTGCTTTTATTTCCTTGAGTACGTTACGGAAAGCCTCGACGCAAACCTCGCCGGCCGGGTGCTTCGTGGACGCCAGCTTCCAGGCCTCCTCGAACATCTCTTCAGAAATATTCACACCCACATTCCTGAAGATCTCTGCAATCTGTGAAGAGGAGGACGAGAGTGTCACTATGAAAAACATATTTCATTAAAACACAAGTTATAACTGTTGAATGTATGTAGCCACACTGCAGCGGCAGGACAAAGTCTCATACCTGATTTGACTCCATTTAAAAAATAAAAAATAGGCTCTCCAGTATGAGTTGAAATTTAAATGGAGTAAAAGTAATTGAGAGGCTTTTTGAATACGCAATAGAGCACAAAACCGGAAAGATTGTCTAGTGTATTAAGCTTTTCTGAAGTACCCAACCATGCATTCAACCGTGAACATAATGCCCGCTAAGAACAGAAATAGTTTTTCATAAACAGGAGATTTAAAAATATACACAGTTTGTGTTTAAAACTGATGTTTGCTGAACTGCATTAAAATATTCATAAAACTATCTTCGATGTGGGTCCATCCCTCACGGTAAAACT